TTGGCCTACTATACCAAACACTAAGTACAAACTCGTTACCCTTTAACCTAATGTGCCCTGGTACCCATTGCAATATAAGCCTAATGCCATTTTTAAGACTGGTCACAAATTTCCAAGATGTCATATACTATCGATGCACCTCTGATACCTGGGGCGCATCGAGCCAAATGCTGTAATGCACTTTTACTATCCGTAAAAATAACTATATTATCGAACTTATTTTCAAATGCATATAATAGAGCTTGGAATATTGCAATGAGTTCCAGGGACATTATCGAAAAATCTTAATTTTTTTTTAAACATGTTTTAAAATTAATATTCTGATGGTAAAACGCAGCCCCTAACTCGTTTACACTTTTTAACCCATCTGTATAAATTTTACACCATCCATCATAGTTGATATTTATTTCCTTAACGACTTCACTGGTCAAAAAATTAGGTTCATTAGACCGTTTTCCATATTTGATACATTCAACATTAATTTTAAGGAATTGATACATCGATATAACTGTTACCCAAGTGTTTAAGGTGAACATTTTTAGAATATTAGAAAAGGCTATGTTTAGCTCACTCAGTTCATTGAAGGTGGTAGTCAGTAAAGGTTTATTTTTGTTTATCCAGTATGACGTAGGCACCAGTCAAATTAATTCCGAAATTATATTTATACTTATATTATTTGACCAGGACATTGCTTTTATTACATATTTGTAGGCAAGGTATTGTCTCCTTAAGGATAATGGTGGTATGTCTAGTTCACTTTTCATAACATGGACAGGTGAGCTTTTTATAAAACCTCCCATAACCCTAAGTGCTTGATTACATGCGTTTTTGCACTGCAATCGTAGACAAAGCAACCATAATCGATTCGACTCCTTATAAGTGAAATATATATTTTACGTATGTGTTTAGTATGTATCCCGTAAGAACCATCGACTAAGACCTTCAATATATTGAGATATTTCAAACATTTATATGTAAATTCGTTTATATGCTTATTCCAGAGAAGACTTCTATCTAGCCACATACCTAAATATTTTCATTTACATTCGGTTAACATCATCGGTTTTCCATATATTTTAAGGGTTGGGACTATTTTTCTACGGCCTCTACTGAACACACAATAATACGACTTCGTAGGTGAAAAGGTTAAAACTATTTCATCCAACAGTGCAATAAACATGTCTATATAGTGCTTCTTGTATATAGAATTCAACACTTGTCATTTGTTTGTCCTTATAATAAATTATGAAATCAACTGCATATTGTGATATTAATAATTTGACGTCATATTTTATAGGTAACCAAATTAAAAAGCAGCGGTGAAAGAGGATCTCCTTGAGTAGTCCCCTATTTGTCCATCTATACGTATTTACTTCATTATTGAAAGCTTTTATTACACGCTTTATATTAGCTTCATTTGTATGTTTGTTTGTAACCGACTCCTCTGGGCGTGATTTTGACTGACTTTAAACGGTCAGAATTCGTTCAAACTTTGTAGATATATCGAGGACCGATGACAATACTCTTATTAAAAAATAAATAAAAAAATATAGTTTTGAAAAACTAAAAACACTTGAAAAAAAAGCGTGGGGTGCTTTTTACCATTGACAACAGGCATCCAACGTTTTTTTTCAAATTTGTTTAAATTTATTTTCTATTTTTTAGTTTGGTTTTCTATAAAAAGCGTGTTTTTAAAACTATTTTTTTAAAGTGTCTTTCGCTCATAAAGGACCACAAATACGTACAAAGTTTAGCACCTACTTGTATGTCATCCAATGTATTTGTTATACTGCCTCAATGGAGACATTATTGTTCGCATTCTCTATGTCCAAGAAGCACGCGACCGTAGGTATACTATTAGACATCCCTACTGGAATATACAATACTAACCGGGCAATCGAATCTAAACATGACTGTGATTTTCTGAACCCGTTGATAACACGTTGTTATGTTCCATATACAACTCCAAGCGTTTGAAAATCATCAGGTGGAAAAATTTACACAGACATAATAGGAGTGAGATCGGTCTCAATCGAACTGTATTGCCACATAAGAGGACACAAATGTTACATCAGGAGAAGTCTTTTGTAAAATGTCATTAATTAATTTTATACTTGTGGGCATACCATTGTTAATATAAATATAACTGCATTCAAGTGCAGCATCCACAAGTTGTGTCCCTCTTACATTTGATTTACTTGACCAGTTAGGATGGCGGCCGTTAGAGTCACCAGCTATTAAATTTTTCCTAGAAAAGTGTGAAAACAATTCATTCCAGTCGGCCGGTTGAGTTGGAACTGACGATGGGCAATACAATGAGAAAACATATTGTAGGTCCCTACAATTAAGTAACTTGATGCAAAGGATTTCAATATCGGGGTTTTTACTATTTAAGGAAATAATATGGGACTGAATCGATTTATGAACTATCATAGTGACTCCTCAATAGCCATCATCACGTTCACGCCTAAATACATTATAGTCACTTACATTTACGTCGTTTCCACGCTTAAACCACGTCTCACTAATTATAGCTATGTGTATATTTTCTTGCAACAACAAGGCTGAAAATAATACAAGTTTAGGGCTTAAGCTTTGTGAATTCGTTTTTTTTTTTTTTAAAAGACAACTCCCGCATTTGGAAAATATCCTGTGTCGCGGGGGACTTTACAAACATACATGAAACGGACACAAAGAACACCTAGACTCGGAACAGCAATTTGTGGATCACACAAAGTGTCGTCCCATGTGGGGTTTGAACCCACAACACTCGGCGTAGTAGGAAGCGGCGTGGCGACCGCTTAAACCACTACGCCATTGTAATATTCTCAACTTCAAATGACCTTGCACTAGTACTATCCATACATAAAACTAGATAGATGTTCTAATATTGCCCCTCCAAGAATTTTACTACAAATTAACTTAATCATTTCTTCAAATATAATTTTTAAAATATACAAAAAAAATCATTTAACTTGCTCTGAGACATGATGATAGATTTTATTTTAGACCACACTTTCATAAATTCCAATTTTTATGCTGTTTTTTTTATTTTGTGTGTTACTTTCTTCATCATTCATTGATGAATATCTTTCTTCATCCGTTGGTTGCTGTGTGAGATATTCTCTTTTTTATTTTTGTCACTCATTTTCTTCTTGTTTACCTTTTGATTTGATATTATCTTTTTTCCTTTGGTATTTGCCTCTAAATTATTTTCTTCTTCATCAGTAGACTGTGGTAGGCTCCCTGCAACTGCTCTGGCTAATACACTGCTGTACGTTTCCTAAGGGTTAAGTGATGTTGTGATTGGTTGTGTACGAGTTGTCTTCAGCTTTTTGTTTATTTTCTGTTTGTTGCCATTTCGTTAGTAACAGTAAGGCTCCTCTGTAGGTAACTTGTTCATCACACATGATATTCCGAATCATTTTTTCCTGTAGAAAAATAGGGCAATTCCTATCTAACACAAAATGACTCCCTTTGCAGTTCAAACACTTGAACTCTTTTATATTACAATACACGGTGATTTTTTAGGCGTTTTGGAAACGAAACATTTTAATTTGGAATCATCTATAGTACCAATAAAAATGATTAAATCAATTGTAATGTTGTCTAAAAAAAAGTTTCAGTTTTAATATTCATTTTTACTCGATCGACTTGGAAAGTAGTAATGGACTGATCATTCATTCATTATCTTATATGAATGAAACACGTCCGTGGGCGTTTCGGCGGCCGCTGCGCACCACTGACGCTAACAGCAGCTGATAAAAGTATACCTATAGGCGCGAGCTAGCGAGTACTTACGTAGATAGACTCCAATTTGTCCTTCATACTTTACACGGGCTTAGGATCGTCGGAAATACCTATTTTATTTAAACTTCTTTTCGATTATTAACCACGATTGTTCTTTTCACAACAAATCAATTTATCAACGGACTGTAGGTATAAATATTACAAGCGTATTTAAAAAATCGGAGCTATCTACAGAATAATTAACTTACATACCTATTTACACTTCTCTGTATCGAAGCAACTGCTCAAAATGGAGTCCGCTGCATTCAATACACAAACGTCCACGTTTAATGCAATTGTTTTTTAATTTTCTTAATGTGTCTCTATCACTTTTCACTTTATCAAAAGCGTCCACTATCGCAATGCGTAAATTATCACGGCTTTCATATTCCCGTGTACAAGTATTTTTATTTCCGACCATAAGGAAAAATCCAGGGGCGTTAAGTCCGGGCTTCTAGGTGGCCAAGGCACTGGCCCTCCTCGACCTATCCACCGATCACTAAACTCATTGTCCAGGTATGCACGCACTACACTCCAGCGAATAATAATTTAAACGTCCTTGACCTTGCGCGTGAGTATAGCATTTCTATTTGTAGTATTTACCTACTTGCGATTGAAAAGCCCTACTACTGGTTCTCACCTTTTCTCTGTAATCGATATGAATATCGACTTTGATGATAAAAAATATATATATTTTATTAAATTAACGTTATATATAGCTTCTGTTACTGATAAATAACTCAAAATTTTCTTTTCCAAAACGCTTTCAAAATCACCGTGTATATTTATATTTTTGTAGGACAGTACCTCTTTATATGGCCAAATTGCCAACACCCTGAATACTGAGTAACTGGGAACTTGTAGGCTTCAACATTAAATCGGCAGCCATAAGCATAAATAAATTGAGGTAATTTCTTACTTTTAAAACTAAGTCTTATAACTTCGCTGTCTATCTAATCTAAACGTTTTAATCTTTTAATTGAAAAAAAAATATCATTCGACTGCAATATTTCTTTTAGTTCTTCTGCGTTTATATCAATCCCTTTTACAACCCCGTAGGAACTCGATATTTCCTGTATCAAATATGCCTGGCAGCCAATTTCTTTAATTTTTGATAATTTAGAAGTTTCACCGCTTCTTCTTTAGTTTTAAATTGGATAGGAACTTTATTTTGATTTTTGTATTTAATTCTGAGAACATTCCGTATATTTTCAGATTGAAGTAGTTTGGCCAGTGCAACTTGTTTGAGTAACCTGACCTGAATGAACTGACACAAACTTCGTGATTTGCATTAATTTGGGTTTCTTCATCATACTGTTCTCTACTTCCAGTTCTTCACTTCTCAACATACGTTTAGGTCTTCTTCTGACGATAGTAATAAAATCATCCTCCGCACTACCCTCTTCATCTCGCTCTTTTCTTTTTTCTACAATTCGACTCTCATTATTATTATTTTTCTCCCCTTCTGATATTTCAATCATATTATTTAGCTCTTGTTCGCATCTCTGTGTAACCTCCGTCTCCCGTCTTCCTCTGTACTGTTTTCATCCATTATTCACATAAAATTTATGTGGGTAAGTAGTTAAAAATTTACACACCTTGCAATGATTGTTTATAAGCAACAACAATAAATTAATTATTTAGTATATAATGAATACTAACTGCACGTCACATTCAGTAAGTTGTAGGTATTAAACATGAAATTTGAATGATTAGCACAACGTTGTTACTATAACACGTACGCTCGACTTCAAACGCAAAACTGCACTGCATATTTACGTATTTGTGTGGTGTTTTATTACAACTACCCCAATATAACAGTGGACATCACATTGGCGATGAGTAAAGGCGCATTAAGTAAAAGAAATGTTTAGATGTACCTGCTTTCAGTATTCGGTTAACACAAGATTTATTTATAAATAAAAGGAAAGAATAACGATGTTCCTTTGAAACTACCTTCTACACTATGCTATGAATAATTTTAAAATATACATTCTGTCGGAATATAATTTAACTAAATATCTTATAAGATAATGCAATATGTAGGTATACTTGAATCATTGAATCTAAATTATTATCTTAATTATTTACTAGTAATACGTTTGACTGTATATTGTTAACTGAATCTGGTTGATTGATCTGACTATTTGATTAAATTGCCAACAGTTTCAACGATAACTGTTTATTAAATTATATCGCCGATGTAGTCGGTACCTATAGGACAGAGCTAATAGCTAGAAAAACTAATATTTGGTTACAGACTCCAAGGTCTTTCAAATTCTCTCTGAACAACATATCATTTCTAATGTCCTCGTTCCGAACACATTCCACCATAATATGTAACGCATCTTCTAATGTCCCACACTCAGAACAAAGGGGAGATGTCACTTTTTTCATCATGTACGCGAATTTATTAAGTGGAATGTGCCCGCAACGCAATCTAAAGGCTATAATTAATATTATATAGTTAATACCTGCCTCCTCAATGTACACTTGTCAAACCATGCAGACTTCCAAGGCTCACTTTGCAATGTTCTATACCATATGCCTTTCTCAACAGATCGCTCATCAAAATGAACTTCCAAAGCTTATAGCCGAGTTCTCGAATCAGATGTATATAATTAGTGAAAAAGGGCAACAAATCTATGGGCACACCATCACTAGTAGCCTGCTTTGCTAATATATCTACTTCCTCATTACCTGCCAGCCCGATATGTGAAGGAATCCATGGAAGGGTCACCTCTTTTGAATTTGATTTTAATTCTAAAAGTGATAATGTCGTACGCTATCGGCATGCATAAGAGGTACCGAGCCATATGTTAAAGCGCACTTTTTGAATCAGTTAAAATTACAAATTTATTAACATCTATTGATTTGATATATGCTAGGGCTTCTGAAATGGCAATCAATTCGAGAGAAGTAATGGACATATTATGAGATACTCTAAATTTTAAACTTTGATTAATCTGCGGGTCGTAAAACGCAACACAATTTTTTAATAATATATGCTTTCGATATATAGGGAGTAGTGTTCTCGGAGCAGACAAGGGTTTTAGTTTCTCTTACCACCACATATACTTTCTATATAGTGGTCGCATTACATCATTTAAGCTGTACCAGTTAATCCAATAATCTAATGAGAACATTTCTAAATTTAATTGTGAATATATATTAATATCCTTAAATGTGGAGTTTATTGTAAGGAGAACAGGGATATTTTTACGTCTCCAGTATCTACGTGAAATAAGTGAGTTTAATTCTTCTATAACATTGATTATACAATTGTTAGACATGGACATCGATTTAAGCCAAAATTTACCCCTTGAAATAGTCGAAGAATCTGTAAGGGTGCGATACAAAGTTCACTTTCCATTACGTGGATGGGAGTGCTTTTAACGAAACTTCCATCGCGTTCCTTGTGCTAATCCTTAACCTGTAGTGCGGCTAATGAAACTATATTTAATTTTTGAATTTCTTGTACTAAGGAATTGCCAAAGGTAATTGCATATTTTCATCTAAAACAAACAACAATGAGTCAATGTTAATATTATTGTATGCGTTATCAATGTCAAGGAAGCATGCTAGGGTCGCTAAATCTTTGAAGAAACCGGACTGGACCCTCGTTACCAGTCACATCAAACTATCCAGACTAGATTTTGATTTTCTGAACCCAACAGTCTCTTTTGAAAATAACCCTTTTCCTTTAAAAAATCACACAAATCTCCTGTTCAAGATTGAATGGAATATCTTGCAGGCACAGGGCATCAAACTAATAGGGCGGAGAGATGTAATAAGTGCGGGATCACGTCCAGGCTTTGGGATTGGGACTACACAAATGTCACGCTACTGAGAGGGAGTGAAACCAGTATATAAGACTATATTGTACAGGGATAATAATACTCTCTTTCCATTACTAGGCAAATGTTTTATCATTGAAAATGAAATATCGTCCCACCCCGGTGCCGTATAACTCATCTTAATACAAGTTTCGAGTGCATGTAAAGTATTTTCGGATTCTATTTTATCTTTTTTAGAGTGGAAATTAGGTTTAGAATTAAGAAGACGCAGGGCATAAACTTGACAATATCGACTCACTTTTATTTTGATCTACGAAAGGACTACAAGTTATGTTTCCCTTCATCCTTTTAATTTTTCGCCACATTTTTTTTTTTTTTTTTTTAAACGTGTGGAAATCCCCTCGGACCGTCACCCCGCCGGGGCTCTCGATCAGCGGGGCGGTGTGTCGGACTCGAACCGACTAAAACCACACGGTGTGCCCTCTTTGCGCTTCCAGTTTAGGAGGGGTCCAGGTAGTTATCGCCTTCTGGACCCCTCCCAGCGCCGGCCCGCTCCTGGTGCGGGCTCCGTCTCCAGGACCTCTCTTTTTAGGCGACGTCCGGCACACGCGGACGCCGCCCCCTCGCGGCTGGCCAAACTAATGCGGGTGGAGGGGAGAACCCATCCCGTCCACCCGCGGCCACACTCAGGGCGGCATGAGGCGCAGGTAAGCGCGCCTCCGCCGCCCGGTTGCAGAAGAAACCTTATCCAAGCTATCATAAAATCTATGCCAGCATTTTTCTTTGAGGCTTTTTTATGAGATTTTGAGACTCTTTAACACACTGAGTAAGAATGGCTAGATTAGAAGGTGTAGGTTTTTTTTCTAAATTTTGGATAAAGCAAGTCTTCTTTTAGCTACTGAATGTGATAATTTAGGAGTCAAATAAGGTTTCGGGATAAAATTGCTTGTGGATAAGGTTATTAGCTGTTAGATTGATATGGATAATAAAAGCATCATATAAACATTGAGGTTCACCTGCTATAACAAAATTTGAAAATTTTCTCTGAAGACAAGTTTTATATGCATCCTAGTCGACGGTTTTGAAGTTACGCTTTTTATCATAATGTGGACTAAAGCAGGACGCAGTAGAAATACCAATAACGAGGAGATCGCTACCCAGGGGTTCTTTTGTTACTCTCCAGTTTAAAAAACATGCTATATCAGATGAGGCTATTGAGATATCAGGAGAGCTTTGTTGTATTGAGCCAGCTAACAACTTAATACGAGTATGACTGTTATCATTTAAAGAAACCAAACTACAATCCGATAAAGAATCGTAAATTTGGGAACCACGAACATCAGTTTTATATGACCACGAGAAATGGTGTGCATTAAAATCACCTAAAATTAAGGTTTTATAGTAAAATTGTGAAAACACAACGTCCCAGTCATGTCGACATGTAGACACCAGTTATTACATTTTCTATATTCTTACAGTTGAAAATCTTGACATGAAGAATCTGTATATCCTCATTGGGGTGGTCTATACGACATGATTGCGCTTGAATAGCATTATGGCTAAAAAGGCAAACACCCCCGTAACCATCTTCTCTGTCTGCCCTAAAAACCCAATAGATTTTTAATTTAAATTTAGTACAAAGATCCAACCAGGTTTCACAATCCGCGGCTATATGATTTTTTTCTTGTGTTAATAATTGAAGTGTGTTTGTAATGTCAAAATAATCGGTTTATTTCATGCTCATACGGTTATTTGCACGGTACCTATGCCTAAAAACCAGTTTAAATATTTTTTGTATGTCTGTCTGTTTGTTCCGGGTGATCATCAAAACGGCTGGCTCGATTTTGTTAATATGGATGTAATATCACAGCACAGACTGAAAGACTGCTCTGCGTGGGAGTCCGAGCGTCGAGTTTTGGTCGGACAAATTTGTAGTATTGTTATAGTAGGCCAAAACCTCCTTTCTCAGGAGAGGCTTATGTCCAGCAGTGGACTATTAAAGGCTGTTGATGATGAAATTTGACGAAACCTGTCACCTGGCGAGGGAAAGGCAGCAGCGGTCTCGTTCTGCGAGGACGTTATACTCCAGAAGGAGGCCGTAGAGCAGGATCGGGCGAGGTGAGGCAACTCAAAGGAGGTGGTGGAGAGTCGCTGTGGCCACATCTTGGGGCGATGGGGGGCTGGTTTTCCAATTGGATCATCATCATCATCATCAGCCTATCGTAGTCTACTCCTGGACATAGGCCTCTCCCATTGCACGCCACTTAGTTCGATTTTGGGCTTCTCGCATCCAGCTTTTGCCAGCCATGTTGCGCAAATCGTACACACTACGTTTGCCGAGACGCGGTCTCCACTCAAGAACTCGTTTTCCCCAACGGTAGTCGGTTCTGCGGCTAATATAACCCTATTGTTTGTTTTTCTATTAATTTTTTTTTTTCCTTTTTTTTTAATAAACCGGTTTTTTCGAACCTGTATAATTTTTTTTATAACTTGATACAAACCGATTTTTACCAATGTTTTTTTTTTAAACTAATACTTTTAAGGTATTTTTCTTGTTGAAAAACTAACCAGTTTATTTTTTTTCGATCTGAACATTCTTAGCCTCTACTATTATAGGTCTTACTTTTTTTAATAATTGCCGATATTTAAAAAGAGGATGCACTGCTCATAAAGTCAATCTACGACTGTCAAGAGTTTGACAACTGTGGGATAAGACAAAAAGAAGATAAGATTCTAGGTGTTGAATAATATTCACTAAATTTTACGGATTTCTGGAAGGTTTCTAGATAGCAACACCAGAGAAATAATGATAAACTATAAATTTAAACAAGTTTGGTTGACCAAAACCAAACAAATACTGCAAAATCCTGAAATTTCAGAAGCTGAAAAAATACTGGCTTACAAAGTATTCATGAGACCATTGTTAATGTATAACTGGTTTAACAGACGTATTGGTTCTTTGAAGGCTATGGAAGTAAGCTTCCTGAGACAGGTGTTTGGTCCAATGAACATAAGTAATTTATATAAGCGTTACACTGATATAGATGTAGCTGGATACATAAAAATAGAAGATATACGTTGGTATAGAACAAGCCACTCTACTAGAAGCGTTGTTCGAAAGGCGTTAGATGCATTATCAAAAACTGCTGCTGATCCCACACCGTACTTTGTCAGAGCTGCAGATAGATTAAAATATCATCGACGTAATGAATCGAGTAAAGCTAAATGTTTGTCATCGAAATTGGTTCTAAAAGAAAATGCTCGACCCGATTCCACGGAAACTATGATCAGAAGAAGCCGTCGCTTAGCAATTAAAGATACAGACTCTCAAAACAATAAACCAACAGCTCCTTCTGTTTAGGAAATTATTTCAAGTTTTTAAATTATAGACTTGTTCAAGTCAATAAAACTTCTAATTACTTTATATTTGCTTTGTAGCTGAGTCATCTAAGTACCGACCATGGGAATGTCATGTTTCGGCATTGATGTGCCTGAATTGTAGGTCTCATTGACATAGTTCAAAACCTGCTAACTTAAAAAAATTCCATATATTTTTTGTGTCTGAGATTTGGCATTAGGATATCACTTTATTTATAGATATTTTAGTTTACCTCAGTCGTCGTGTCACGCGTTGGTGTCAGTACTCAGATTTGCGTAAAACCAAGGCATGTGCCCGATCATATTCACTAAAAAAAACGTGGAATGAAGATGGAAAGAAGAACTCTTTCCTCGGCAAAGCATATAGCTGACCTACTCGAGGTATTCGTGAATAGTTACAGTTAGTACCATTCTCTAATCCATACGGATATTAATGTTACATACCAGGATGAGTAGTGCAATTAATCAAATACAGCTCGAACGGCACCATGATATGGTGTTGATCCACAAGGTTTACCAACTTGTTGTTCGTCGTTCCCGCACCTACGTCTCTCCGTGCTCTCTTTCTTACCCCTATGTAGCCGAGTCGACGTACCGGAGCTACTGATCTGTTACGTGATTCCGTTAGATTGACGCCTGTTTTACAGCGATGCTGAAGTTGTGATGCCTTTCAGAGTTGATCTGTATGCTATTACAGTATCGACAAGTGCGGGATACCACTGGAAGCGCAGCGGGGCGCATTCTCTTGAGGCTCGCGCGCTTATTCGAGTGTCTTCAAGGGCACTCGAGAGCTCTCGAACGGATCGACGCGCATTCGCTCTCCTAGCTCGTCCGTCATTTTAGTGTTGATCGATGCTTCGTGTAGAACAAATAAACATACACATTTTGTACCAAGACGGGCCACCTGATGGAAAGTAACCATCGCCGCCCATAAAAGTCTGCAACTCAGGAGTCACAAACGCGTTGCCAGCCTTTTAGGAAGGAGTACGCCCTTTCCTGAAGGTTTGAAGGTTGTATCGGTCCAGATATACCGAAGTTGAAAACCCGTTCAACAGATTGGATGTGCAGGGCAAAAAGTTTCACAGGTCTGTGCGTTCACCGCAAAAAAGATACCATTTGTACGTATCACCTCGGTTTGGAGCACCTCAATAACTGCCTCAGCTAGCATCGGAATCCTACGCATCGACATATCGAGCCAGTTTCGGGGTCACCTACAGGGTAAGGTCAAATTGGCCTCGAAGAAGCTCGGTGTGCTGAACAGATCAAGGCAGTATTTCACTCCGGCCAACCGCTTTCAGTTCATACCGCCTTGATATGGAATACTGTTCTCATCTCTATGCAGGGGCACCTCAGCCAGCCAGCTCAGACTCGAATCATCGATAGCCCAAACATCTACGATCGGCTCGATCCCTTGGCGTTACGTAGAGATGTAGCTTCACTCTGCATTCTCTATGGCATATATCATGGAGAGTGCTCGGAGGAGTTGTTCGGACTCCTCCGACACACGGCAAAATTTTCATCCGCATTACCTTGATAGTTGGCGATCCACTACAGTGCGCTTTACGAGATACTTTTTGCCCCGCACATCGAATCTGTGGAACGGGTTATCGTCTGCGGTGTTTCCGGAACGATACGACATTCGAACCTTGAAGAAAAGAGTGTACTCCGGAGTTGCAGACGTTCATGGGCGGCGATGGTCACTTTCCAACTACGATACACAAAAAACTACTTTCCACTACATAAAAAACAAAAACATTTGCTCTCTCAGATCAGGATCAAAATGTTGTTCAATGTTCAAGTTACAGCAAGATCGTTTCTTTTTATATTTAATTACATAGTTAAGCACCTTTCTTACATAGATAAATATATACCTAATGGTGTATTTTGTTTATTATTTTTATTTTATTTTATAAAAATAGTATTTAAGTTAAACTATTTGACAATAAGATGTATAATAATAAAAATTTTAGTACAAATTAATTAGGTTTCCTATCACATCATCATTACAAAAGTAAAACATCTTATATCGTTATCATCGGATTTTATATCGGTTCACAAGTAATGTGATTTAATATTAATTTGGTAACGTAGTTAGCTAAAACTAGAGATGGAATAAAATCACAATCACTCAAGTTAAACCATATGAATTATAATCACACCTGTGATTCATTTACAAAACCTTCTTGCGACTTATTATTATTATCTTTGTCTATGACCAAATCACAATTACAAGTGAAATCGCAGAGAATGAAATTAATAATTTCGTCATAGGATTACGATTTAAAAGTAGCCATAATTTTTATGTCTAGCTAAAAGAGGGCTAGTGAAAGTTAGTGTCTTTGGTCTTCCTAAATGCGTTATTTTTGTTCTTCGCGTTTTAGTTGCATAGTTCATTTCATTCCTGCGCCAACGGTAAAAGTGGTAGGAAGAGTATTATCGAGGTTCATATAAATGTAATCGTTGCCGTTCAAGTATTCAGATTATTTTTAAACTTGTAATTCAAGATTGGCAAAACTGGCATTTATTTTTAATTGAACCAATTTGGCTATGTAGATTTTTCAATACTCGTTTCTTAAACTTCTCTAATTACGAAGCATCGCTACCTCGAAAAAATTGCTCATTTTCCGAAGCCCGACTTATGGTAAACATTTATTTTTCATTCTGACTGTACCTGTGTATGTTTCTAAATAGGTAAAACCGTTTTTCATTTTCTACTCCTAAATTCGGCCTTGGTCGCTAGTTCGTTATTACAAGATTTAAAATATATTACTTTCTACTCTATTTAGTCTGCGCATAGGTTGAAATTATTGAAACCGTCTCGATTACATTATTATTTTTCTGAAAAGGATGTTTCTCAGAAAACGAATATATCAATCAGTCCCGTAAAAACTACTTTACTGTAAGTAGTCAAAATGTTGACATTCATCAGAAAGAAATAGTGTGGTTATTCGCAGGGTCCTCATAACTTTTATGAATAAAAATGCCCCTTTAGATTATAAAGGACGAGCCTCACTGACATGATGTGATTAGCTCGTTTTTTCCTTCCGAAATCAATAAAGCAACCATTCCTTGGATTCCAAAATAAATTATTCACCCTGGCGAGTCATCCATACTGCTTTTTCGTAAGTCCGGTATAATATAAGAAGTTGATGGGTTGGTTTCAGTATATGGTTCTGGTGATTGTCTTGATTCTCTTCTCGTTCTAGATGTAATCCTTTCAGAAATATTTCTTAGCGTACTACTTAGCTTTCTGCGATCCCACCAATGCACAGCCTGTGAACATCTTAGATCTCTCAAGGCTCTTTCTTCATGCTCTAACAGTTCTGTCCAAGATAAACGTTCACAATTAACATAATTAACAACGTCTCTCTCTCGATAACGTCTGTACACGGCACTGAGATCAGGTCTCAGTCTTTTAGGATGCCTGGGAGGATACTTTGATTTGTATATTGCAACCAAAATTCCGCTCTCAAAACGTAACATTTTTTTACACTGATATTCACTAAGGGACCAAAGCTCGCAACCGTATGTAAGAATAGGCCTGACAAATATTTTGTATAGATTGAATTTCGCTCGAGACGTTAAGTGAGGGTTACAAAGCAGTTTCATATACCGTTGGCACCAAAGTCGGGCGCATCGTATTCGTTCTCTAATTTCAGGACCCATTTGTTCTCTAGTTAACTGCGGTATTCCTAACCTGTTTTGCAAAGTATCCCTTTGCATTGCACACAACACAGCGTGTGTTACAATTCATAACATATTCACAAATTATAAAAATATTGACACAAATGTAAATACTTTATACCATAGAAAAATAGACTGTTGACAAGTTAATAGACAATAATAATGTATGTCTTTGATCTGTACAGTATAAACTATATAAAGGTCAGTAAAATAAATGAAAGGTGTAGGTATATAAAATAATAAAGCATGTTCATACATGATGAGATTAAATTAATTAAGTATCCTGAGATCAATCTTGTATAATATGTCTTGTGTCGTGCGTGTGTGCGAGAGTATGAAAATGCATGTTGACTCCTGGTTACTTTAAGACATAATTACGCCAATTTAGACTCTACGTACCTTAAGATTAGTTGAAGCATAAAGATTCGAAAATTTAAAGTGCAAGCAAAATGGGCATACAACGATACGTCAATTAACTACAGTTAAGTTTAATGTTAATCAAACTTTAAATCAAGTCCAAACGCTTTACATAACTACTGTTAAAGTTTATTGTTTTCTTTTACTAAACGAATGTTATCGCATTGTTTATGGAATCATTATCGTAGTTTACCTGCCAGCCGCTACAGATTGGATTTGGTAACTTAAACTCGGTCTCTTTGGCTGTCGTACGTGGCGTTTTGCACAATTAGCATGACTTATACTTACATTGTCTTCGGACTTTTATGGAGGATAGTATACGGTATTACATCGCAATGTACTGTCACAGATGTCAAGAGTCTTTTAGAGGGTTGTGACCGGATTACTGGATTGAACGTGACCAGCGTTGGTGGCACCATTGTAAACGATCATAATTGTGATGTGGTCTTGCCAAAGCAAGTGTTCCTGGAGGAGCCGTTATTTCAGTTTTCTTCAGCTGATGTCGTATGATATATTTATTCATCATTTTTATTACTTAAAGCTACAGTAGCTGTAGATACTCTACATAATGTAAAACCAAAAAAGTGCAATCATCCTTACTAATATTATAAATGCTAACGTAATTCTAACGTAATTCTGTCACGGCTAAACTGCTGAACCGATTTTAATGAAATTTTGGAGTTACTGTAATTCTTGAAGAAGGGCATAGAGCATACTTTTTACCGCAATGACCAACATACAGGCGGGCGGAGCCGCGAGTTGAAGCTACTTATTCATAAAATGTAGCAATACTTTTCTTATTTAAAGCTTATGGAAACAGTCAATTATTATCGTTTATTGCTATATTTATAAAGCCTACGTGTTATTATTTCGTACTAATATTTGTAATTCATGAAACTAACATAATACAGTTTGAATGTAATGTAAAAATGTGTTTATGTTTCAGAAAAAGTTTTTCACACTTTTAATAGTTGATCCCGATGCTCCACCGCAGATAGATGGTGAATTTTATTTGCACATGGTTAAATCGAATATACCTGTAAGTACAACTTCTATGCCACGTATAAGTATACATATATTATGTATGACAGTTAACTTAGATTATTTAGTTGATAAATAGTGACGAATATTTCTGTACGTAAAAATCGTTTTAGTTTTTGTTACACTAATCAGTTAATATAAAATGCAAAAAATTAATAAAATAAAATATAAAAAGAACCTTTTGAGAGAAGAGAAGTTTTAAAGACGTGGAAAAACTATACCACACTGACCACAACTGAATGGGTATAAGTATATTTATAACAGGTATACCTACATCATTATTTATTGGCTCTTTTCTATCTTAGCCTTAGAAGTTTCATATTAAAGGATCCCAATAACTGAGATTTACTTACTTTTCTTTTTTTTCAGGGCCTTGCTTTAAAAGCTAAGGATAGCACGAAAACTGTTGGAATTGATTATAGAGGTACTGATAAAAAAATTAGATAACCAAACCGCCAATATGGCAAAACTAGGATTTCCTTTTAATAACCCATTGTTGCATAAATATAATTTGCTGACTGATAAATTCAAGCATAAAGTTATGTAGTTTAGAATAAAAAAAATTGTCATAATTTCAGAGCATTGTGCATCTTAGTTTATTTTACAAGTACCTACTTGATTAGAACGCCGAAAATAATATTTATTTAGATATACGAGTGTCTACATTTCGTGGCTCAATTTCGCGTTTAACTGACGAATTATTTGTTTACCGTATCTGTGAAAACAATTATTTCAGCTAGTAATCTACAACATTCAGCTAAATGATTACTAACTCAGGTTACAAGTGTAGATATTACTTCCATTTAAAAATAAAAGTACTCAATTTATACGTACTTCTTCATTAAATTAATTAGATTCTTCAAAATTATTGTTTCAAGTTCCAATATTCACTTCGTAATTAAAATCCTTTATTTATTTTATGCAGGATACAAACCACCAACGCCACCTCGCGGTACGGGTCTACATCGCTACCTGTGCCTCCTGTATGAGCAAGCAGACGGTAACAACTTTCTACCGACTGTTCCGACTACACGTCTACGTTTCTCACTTGCAAAGTGGCTTGTAGGAAAAAACCTTTGCGGTCCAATAGCCGGCATACAATTCAGAACTGAATTCTAGATGGCGTTACTAGTTACTTATTCTAATAATTAATTAAACAGATTTTATTAGTAAACAGCTCGATTAGACTAGATAAAAGATTATGAAATCAGAAATAATATAAGGTATTTTATAGAAACATTTTAAGATATCATATTTATAATTAAGTTAATACTTGTTTATTTAAGACAACACAGCAACTCAGTCATGATTAATATACCTATTACAATAGTGTAACACTTTTTTTCATTGGTCTAGTGTATAATCCGCTGACTTAACCTGCTTGATTGAGTATGAATGTACATGCCTGTTATTAAAAGATTGGTCCTCTTTTGCTGAAAGAAAGAGAGAGAAGGATAAACGAATGACAGAAATCATTTTCACATCAACATCAAAATCTCTTTTCACGCTAAACTATCTCAGTCGGTTTTAATTCAACCCATAAAGGTTTTACTAATAGGAACTATTAGGCTATAATTTGTGCTTTAGTGTTTACAACAATATCCCATATGAAACATAATTTAGATTTATAAATACTTTGTTCCACAGTGAAGGTTTATTTTATTTTATTGGGCTTTAGAACCATGAACCATCAAATTCTGCCTACAGTGGAACTCACGTTTATACCAATTTTGACAAAGTCTGCGTGGTGCACGACGTGACAACGAATCTTCCATCAATGTTTTATGACATCTCTGTCAGGTTCTCAACATCACTGAAATATAACTTTTAATACTTATTTATTTACAAATGTTAGTATCTTCTGTGAGCGACTCATAAATATTTATCGCGTCAAAGCAAAATCTCTATGAAAACTTAAAAAGATAATCTAATTGGAAATGTTAAAAGTGATTAATTAAACGCATCTATGATGCTCTGTGCCAAAATACAGTTCTTTTGTTTCACTTTTGACAAGTAAAAAAACCGAATAGTGGCACGAGCTCAGCGGCGTAGGCAGCGCGCACGCACGCGACACTTCCCTCTCACCTCAACCCACGCGCAACCACCACGCTTAACTTATATCATAAAATTATTTTCTCATCTCAAACTACTGGTTCTATTTTACGTAAATTTCTATTTACCTGGTTAATATTATACTAATTCTAAAGACTCTCGAGTCGTGATTTAACCATTGTACCCTTAATCCTGTATTAACCAATAACCTTAGATTATTAATATGTCTATTAATCTACGCCAATAACCTTGCTTCGTCGTACGCGAATTAAATTCAGTTACGGAAAATTCAATAACTAGTTTTGAAGTATTTAACATGACTATTCATTTCCTTCCCTCCTGAATTTATTCCTGTATTGTTAAAGTCTTAAAGGTATTATGTCATTAACCTTTTTTAGTTCAGTACAATTAAAATAATACATTTTTAAATATGACCTAATCTAAATGTGAAAAGAATCGTCGTAAGACCATTGCTATCAAGCCTAATATCTGGGACTCGTCAAAACAAACCATAATTATGTATCTAAACTTAAGGGTTTTGTCATAGGCCACTGAAAAAATACACTGTTTACCACTAGGCTCTATCATCAGAACAGTTTGAAGGTGTCAGATTATAGCATCGTTATCCAATCTACCTATACACATAACATTTTATTGCGATACGACAATAATTAGAAGTGGTTTAAAATTGACTTGTAAGACTTATATACTCACTTATTTTGATAGTATATAACCTAGTTACTGGATTAGGATACCTTAGGACAGGATAGCTTCACCTAAACAATATTTTTGCTCTCATGAACCTTTTAATCTTATTAGACATTTTATTTATTAACACTTATGTTATATGCACATTGTCTGGTTCGTAAGCAAAATCAATATTAATAGTGTCATCTACGTTTGAAAGGCGCTTGACTTTTTGTCAATGTCTTATGTATTAAATTTTTATTAAATTATGTCGTTTTGCTCATATTTTTTTTAACAGATACATATCTGCCATACTTGCCATCGCTACAAAACACCAAACTGTCAGCCGATTTAGTTTTTTAACTGCATCCTTTGTAGGTTACCAAAAATAAGTTTGTGTTACATGCTCACATGTCATGTTGTAACACTTCTTAGTATAAGCGCCTTTGCAGGGGTGGTCCTTTCAGTTTTATAGTGGTACTTAAAATGTCAATATATTAAGACCGCCGTTGTATTGTAAAACTTTATAAAGTACCACGAGAAATAATTGTGTTAATAAAAGTTAATTCAGATTTAGCATTAAGTTTTGCGAGACAAATGATTTCGACCTATTACTTTATTTACTCAGGAGATGTTGTAAATAAATATTTTTTTGTTTACAATCGTGTTTTTGAATCGAAACAAATCGAATTAAGGGGGGGCATTAATTTAATTAATAAAGGTGGGGCTTCACTCAACGTGAGAATTGCTTAACATCGGTTTTCTGCGAGCCCATGGTATCACTCCGGTAGAGTCGGCCAATGGCCCTTCATATATAGTATCGTACTGTTGACGGGCCTATTGGTTACTGACAATGACTACTAAGCCGGAGGTCGTGGCTTCGATTCCCACCCAGGACAAGTATTTTGTGATGAGCACGTTCATTTGTTGTGTCTGGGTATAATTCATCTATCATATGCATGTATTTATAAATGTATAAGTATATTTATCAGCAGATTGGTTACCATAATACAGGCTCTGCCTAGTTTAGGACCAGGCTGCCGTATGTGAGATCTGTAAACTTATTATTATTAAACTATTATAATACCCGAATATATTCCTTATTGCCTTCTGAAGTCCTAGCTTAACGCACAACACCAACTTTCAACATTCTCAAGAAAATATTATGTAAACTGTAAACAGACGAAGAACACGTATGACCAGAAGGCTAGATCAAGAAAAACTACCATCCCTAGTATTTAACGGGTCAATTATTCCCCTAAGCTCTACTGTGAAGGATTTGGGACTGTTCATTGATTGCAACCTTATTTGGCAAACCCAGGTTACTAATGTCAGCCAGAAAGTTACAGGAACCCTGCGGGTGTTATACCGACTCAAGAATTTTTTACCTTCCGAGATTAAAGCGATGTTGGTACAAACTTTAATTTTTCCTATTATAGATTATGGTGGTGTATGAATGCAGATCTCCTCAACAAATACGACCGTCTTCTTAATAACTGCATTCGATTCATTTTTAATCTTCGTAAATATGATCATATTTCCTCCTTTCGTCTTAAATTAAATTGGCTCGCAATTCGTCAGCGTCGTCACCTGCGGGCACTAACGACTCTCTACACTATTCTCAACTCTATTAACTCGCCTACATACTTAACATCCTCCTTCCAGTTCTTGTGCTCCAATCATAACAGAACCCTTCGCTCTACAAATAATCTTCTACTCTTATGCCCTTCCGACGCTTCACACTTCGTGTGTTCATTCTTCCTTTCTCACTCAATCTGTACTTCTATGGAATGCTCTTCCCCAGGATATCAGAATGGCGAGCAGTCGTAATTCGTTTAGGGTGAAGGTGCGGGCTCTCCTTGACCGGAATGTAGAGGAATCATCACAAATATGATACTTTATATATTATGGTATATATGTATGTGTATATATATAATATAATATATATGAATATGAATGTATGTATACTTGTATGTATACGTTGTTATTTTTATATTATTTCAATGCTTTTTCTCATATTTTTTTTCTTCTTCTGCGCGAGACAGTATTGCTAACATTATTTCTTTTATGCCCACTTTATAATTCTCAACCAAAGGGTAGTGCACCTCCACACTCATTTCCACACCAACCTAAGGTAGACTGGTAGAGATTGCCTATGGCATTAAGTCCGCCATTGTACTTATGTGCATAAAGTTATTAAACAAATAAATAAACATTTACTTGCTGCACTGCTGCCAATATTTAAAATAATATAAGAATATGTGTAACAAATAAAAACATTATCTTTCCTAGAACTGTCTTGTAATTAGTCGATGTTGATTAAATGAATTAATCATTACCGGTTAACCGCAGCATGACACAAGGTGGATCCAAACTCGCCTGATCTATTCTCAGAAGGTATATGTTATCTCTTATTGTTTTTTACTCATCAAATAATATATCAGTTTGATGGTCGTGGTTTAGTTATGTTATACAGGTATTAATCATAAGAACAGGATGACGTAATTTCTCAAAACCCACCTCTATGAATAAATTGTGACTATTAAAGTGTGAAAATACAGTTTTAGTATTTTAAATAATTAACATTCCAGTTATTATTAATTTAGACCTTTAATTTACGGAAATAAACTTATGATGATTGTAGGGGTTCGGCAGGATTGTTTAATTCTAAGCGTAGTTAAACAATTTACGTGATATGGTGCTTAAGTTCTTAGCGAATTGATACTTAGAACACGGCAGTCTTTTTACAAGGTTTTCATGGCATATTTGGCAGATGAGCTGACGAGTAACCAACCCCCAAATTAAAGGATCTCCCCCTAAATTTGTTTTGTTTGATGTCCTGATGCTTTCCGAAAGTTCAATTTTTACCCATTAAAATATATAGAATGTTATCAACTATGAGAAACATGGTTTACCCTAATTAAATAGTAATTGAGTTAAATCTCCAGCCGTTGTGGTTAAATCTAAGCACATAGATATTACCTTCATAAAAATAAAACATAAAATGAACTTAGTACCGATTTTTTTCTAGGCGTACTGCAGTTGGTAAAAACTGGTGTGGTTTTTACGAAGACTACAAACATTTACTTTAATGTTCGGTTACATTGTAAAAATTAGGAATGTTTCCACGTGTAAGCGTCTCTTATTTGTTATGCAAAGGAAGAAAGTTCAAGGGCACAGGAAATATTCTTAGAAAAATAGCCTAAGAGAAAATACAAAAGCATTTGTTTTTGCAACTCTCGTTTTATTTAATGGAAATACAAGATAAGATAAATAAATTTCAAGAAATCCTACGAGTCATGTAATTATTTCATCTTATTTTATTGTGAATATTTGAAATGCTAACGGCTTCCTACTATATTTTATTAATGCTCAATAAG